AGATACCATCTGAGTAGCAATGAGCTCACCCAGCAGCACCAAGATCTTGTTTCTAATAATATTCTCCATTAAAAGTAATCAGGACTCCTTAGAAAAATGACTGATCTGAGGAGTAGGCAGGAAATATGTAAAATGAGCCTGGAGCACCTTGCAGTCCTAAAAAAAAATAAGTGCTCAAAACAAAAATAAACAACAACAAAAAAAACCAAACCCACAATAAGGGACATGCCAAAGGGACACAGAAAACCAACTGACAGCTCACAATGGACACAGTTGTAACAACTTAAGCAGAAAATTAAGTAGTATTAGACTATATAACCCAGAGTATAAACTAAATTCATGAGTCCATACTAATATAAATAAACCATTAAATAAATAAATAAGAGAGGAGAGACAAATCTAGGGTGCAAAAGAATTCCAAATAAATGATGTAGATATTTCCCCTTACAGAGGTAGCGCAACCTCTCCACTCCTCAAATATGGGCTCCACGTAATGACTTCCTTTCAAAGACTACAGTATGGAAAGGGGGGAGAGGGTAGAGAGTTACTTCACAGTACTGAAACATGACAAACACTACCTCAGCCAAGTGATCAAGGTTCACATCAACAATGATAAGTCATGTTGATAGTATGGCCTTTGATATGCTGTGATGAAAATGGCACTTTATCTCTGGTTTTTCTCTCAAAAACTCGGTAACCCTAACCTCATCATGAGAAACTCATCAGAAAAATCCCACTGAGGGACTTCTACAAAATACCTGAAAATTACATTTCAAAACATAAAATAAAAATATGAAAAGTCTGAGACACCGTCACAGACAAAAAGAGGCTAAGGATGATGGTCATGAAATGTAATACGGTATCCCGATAGCTCTCTTGGAACAGAAAACAAACATTAGCTAAAAATTAAGGAAATGGGAAGAAGTATGGACTTCTGTTAATCAACATATATTAATTTTGGTTCATTAATTGTAAAAACTATATTAGACCAATGTAGGATGTTAACAGTAGGGAAAACTGACTTAAGGAGTTTATGAGAACTCTCTGTACACTTTCTTTATAATTTCTCTGCAAATCTAAAACTATTCTAAGGGTGCCTGGGTGGCTCAGTGGGTTGGAGCCTCTGCCTTCGGCTCAGGTCATGATCCCAGGATCCTGGGATCGAGCCCCACATCGGGCTCTCTGCTCTGTGGGGAGTCTGCTTCCTCCTCTCTCTCTGCCTGCCTCTCTGCCTACTTGTGATCTCTGTCAAATAAATAAATAAAATATTTTTTTTTAAATGTTATTTAAAAAACAAAGGGGGCAGGGTGCCTGGTGGCTCAGTCATTAAGCACCTGCCTTCAGCTCAGGTCATGATCCCAGAGTCCAGATGGGAGTCCCAGATGGAGCCCCGCATGCTCCAGTGCTCTGTGGGGAGTCTGCTTTTCCCTCTGCCCCTCACCCCATTCTCCTGCTCTCTCTCACTCTCACACATAAATACTTTTTAAAATAAATAAGTAATAAAAAAACAAAGGGGGAAATTAACTGTCAAATGCTGATAATCAAAAAAGAAAAAGACAACCGAGAGCAGTTTCAGTGGATTAATGGAGTCAAAGACAGATTACATCAGGCAGAGGAGTGAACTAAAGCTGAGAATGGGGCTGTAAGCGTATGGCTTTTTCCAAGAAGTCTGACAAGGAGGGGAAGATCAAATCAGAGTCAGAAGTAGACATCAAGTTAAAGAAAGTAACTGTTGTTTTGTTTGTAAATAAAGGTATAATTCACATACCAAAAATTTACCTTTTAAAGTGTACAATTCAGTGGTTTCCAGTATGTTCAAAAAAATTATATAACCATTACCACTATATACTTCCAGAACATTTTCATTACTTCAAGAAGAAATGGTATAATCAGAGACCTAAATATATGAAATATGTTCATGAATAAGAAAACTTGACATTGTTAAGATGTCAATAAAACCGAAGTAATTTACAGATTCAATGCAAAGTCTATCAAAGTCTAACAGCCTTTTTCACAGAAATGGAAAAGCTGATCCTCAAACTCATGTGTAATTGCAAGGAATCCTAAATAGCCAGAACAATCCTGAAAAAGGGTTCACAATTCTCAACTTTGAAACTTATTACAAAACTACAGTAATTAAAATAATGATACATAGAGACATACAGATCCAGAGAACAGAATGAAAAGCCCAGAAATAAACCTTCACATATGTGGTCAATTGATTTTTGACAAGAGCGCTAAAACCATTCAATGGTCAAAGGACAGTCTTTCAAAAAATGGTAATATTAAAACTAGATATCCTTATTCCAGTTTGACTCTTAAACCATATACAAAAATTAACTCAAAATCGATCAAAGACCTAAACTAAAGAACTAAAACTATAAAATTCTTAGAAGAAAGCTTTGGGGAAAATCTTCAGAATGCCAGATTTGGCAACCATGCCACGGGTATGAAGAAAGAATAGACAAACTGGACTTTAGCAAAATAAAGCACTTTTGCTCATCCAAGTGAACTATAAGGAGAGTGAAAAGAAAACCAACTGAACAGAAGAAAATATCTGCAAATCATTTATCTTATAAGGGATTAATATTCCATATACCTAACAATTCCTAAAACTCAACTCCAAAAATAATTAATCCAATTCAAAAATGGGCATAGGACTTGAGCAGACCTTTCAAAGATACACAAAATGGCCAATAAGCACATAAAAAGATGCTCAACATTACTAGTCATTAGGGAAATACAAATCAAAATTATAGTAAGACACCACCTCACATCTACTAAGATGGCTATAATAAAACAAAAAATAAAATAAGTGCTGGCAAGGATGTGGAGAAATTGGAACCCTTGTGCACTATTGGTAGGAATATAAAATGTTAGAGCTCCTGAAAATCAGAATGGCAATTCCTCAGGGGCACCTGGGTGGCTCAGTGGGTTAAGCCTCTGCCTTCAGCTCAGGTCATGATCTCAGGGTCCTGGGATCGAGCCCCGCATTGGGCTCTCTGTTTAGTGGGGAGCCTGCTACCCACTCTCTCTCTCTTTGCCTATTTGTGATCTCTCTCTGTCAAATAAATAAATAAAATCTTAAAAAAAAAAAAAGTTAATTCCTCTGAAAAATTAAAAACAGAATTATCATATGACCCAGAAATTCCACTTCTAGGTACACACCCAAAGAGGGTCCCAAAGAGATATTTGTACTCCCATGTTTCTATAAACATTATTCACATTGTTAAGCATGGAAGCAACCCATGTGTCCACTGAGGGATGAATGATAAGCAAAACTGGTGTATATATATAAATAACGGAATAGTATTCAGCCTTAAAGGGAAGGAAATTCTGACACATACTACAACATAGACGAACCTTCAGGACATTATGCTAAATGAAATAAGCCAGTCAACAAAAAGACAATTACTATTAAGATTTCCACTTACATGAGGTACCTAAAACAGTCAAAATCATAGAGACAGAAAGCAGAATGGTGGGTGCCTGAGACTAGGGGGAGGGGAGAATGGGGAGTTATTGTTTAACGAGTACAAAATTTGAGTTATGCAAGATAAATAGTTAAGGATGTGGATGGGACTAATGGCTACACAACATGAATATACCTAATACCACTGAACTGTACACTTAAAAATGATTAAAGCTGTAAATTTTATGTTATGTGTATTTTACTACAGTGAGAAAACTGGAAAAAGTGAGAAGCATTAAGGCTTGTAGTACCGCATTTACTGTTTCATAACACAGATTTAAATTCTCAGAATAATTCTACAGACATTATTATTAAGCTAGACTTTTTTATACCGAAATACAGACTTCTCTAGCCTTCTCTCCAGGGCATATATCCTTTGAGGGTATATATATCTCTCACAGCTACCTGTATTATAATGACATGTATTTTGTTCCTACCTTTAATAATGAAAAATTTCAAACATATACAAGGGAAGAGAGAAAGGAATAATGAAACCCCATATAGCTATCACACCACAGATAGTTTTGTTTTATCTCTAATTCCACCCATTTTACTCTTCTTCCCCCAGTGGATTATTTTGAAGCCAATCCCAAACATCGTATCATTTCAACCACAAATATTTCAGTATGTTATCTCTACATACTAAAAGATACTGTTAAAAGATACATACAGCAAGATACAGGCAGAGTCCTGCATAAATTATTGTGCTGTTAGGTCAGATTTCTGATACAAGCAATCCTTCAGTAAACCATGTATTAGATACAGGAACTTTATATATATTCATTCATTCATACTCTACTTCATTACAAGTTAAACCACTAGGAAGTAAGGCTATCAAGCTAGAAAATCAAGAAAAACTGGCTTGAACAGTTAGTTTCAATCATAAGAGGGTCATTAATCAAAGGTGGTCTTAAGGGCACCTGAGTGGCTCAGTTGTTTAAGCATTTAACTCTTGATTCAGGTTAGGTTATGATCTCAGGGTTGTGAGATCAAGCCCCGAGTTGGGTTCTCCCTTTCCCCTCCTAAGCCTCCTTCTCTTTCACCTGGGCTCTCTCTCTTTAAAAAAAAAAAAAAAAAAAAAACACACACACATGGTGGTCTTAGAGACCTCTTAGGAAAGAGATGGAGAAAAGTGACACAAATATCACATACACTCTCAGTAGTGCCTGGGTGGCTCAGTTGGTCAAGTGTCTGCCTTCGGCTCAGGTCATGATCTCAAGGTCCTGAGATTAAGCCCCACATAGGGCTCCGGGCTCAGCGGGGAGCCTGCTTCTTCCTCCCTCTCTGCCCCTTCCCCTGCTCATGCTCTCTCTCAAACAAAATCTTAAAAAAAAAAAAGCACCACACACAATCTCTCTCCCCTCATTCTCTCCCTCTCTCCCCCCACCTTTCATATGATACAAGTTATTTAGTATATGATAACATAACATGGTCATATTATATAATTATTATACATAAAGTAATACCCGTAACTGCATATTTTATAAAACTAACTCAATGCAGAAAATTTCTAGTCATCTGTCCTTACCTTTTGTTGGACTGAGATTCTGGTCTATAAATCCTCTCAGTTCTGCATTTGTAGAAGTCAAACCAACCTGAATAAAACAGTTTTTAAAAATTAAAAACAGGGTCTTATGTATTAAGTGGTCATTTAATAACCTATTTTACACTTTCTACTGAAGAACCATGTCAAATAATACAGACAGCCACATAAAAATGAATTAACCATACAATTGATACCAGAATTAAAAAGAAAATGTTGCTTAAAATGGGAAAAACAGAAACTGTCCAGATTAAGATGAAAATTAATGAAATAATGTCACTAGTGAACAGAACTGAAATCTACAGACTTTACTGATGGTTTTTTTTTTTAAAGCAAGTAATGTGGCAGTCCTGAAGTTGCCAATAGGTACACCACAATTCCGCCTTCACACTGCCCTGAATTTTTACTGTTCATAATCACTACCTATAATGCTTTTTAACACTATGATATGTAATGGATCAGATAAAGACCATTAATACCACACAGTAAAGGTGAGGTCTACTGGTCTCAAATCCAGCTGCCTGGGCTCATACTCTGGCTCATCAAGACTACTATGTGTGTGGTCATGGTGAAGTCACACAAGTTCTCTACTTCTCAGTCCCTTCAACTGTAAACTGAAGGATGCTAGAAGTGCTTACCAGTTTAGGTGCTTACCAGTTTAGGTTATTAGAAAGATTGAGATAGTTCATGTAAAGCATCTAGCACAGTGTATGGCACACAGTGCTCAATCATAGTAACCTTCTTAACTATTAATATGATACCTGTGGATTATCTATAGCAAGTGTGTTTATAAATTCACCTTTAGACAATTTATTTCATTTAATGTGACAGCCACTGGACTTCTCGGATCACAGAACTAAATACAGTAGTATCATCAGAATTTTAAAAACTTATTACAGAGCTAGGAGGAAAAAAAATTCTCCATTTTTGAAACTTGACATAAACAAGATTCCAATAAATGATTCTACTATTACTATTACGTTATTGTTTTAATCCATATAGATTTGTCATTTTTCAAATATCAGTGCTAACTTGGTACCTCAAACATCCTTTCAAAGTACTAGCACATTAAAAATATTTTAAAGAACACAAAGCTTTATAACTTTGTATCTGTGCACTTAATGTTATTTTTAAACTACCCACTGCATTAGCAACATATATTGTTCAAGGGCACTCATTTGATACTTTACAATTTCATAATGTAAGAGCTAATTATTTCATTATTTAGTAATTCAAATGCACTACTAATAGCTGTTTCTTTTTGTCAAGAGATATATTACCAGAAATATTTCTACATATCATTCACATCATGGAAAAGTAATTCTGATGCAAACCTATCTCTAGCATCTAATACTAAATTTTTATGACAGCAGTTGAGTGGAAGACATCTAAAATGCACCTTTTCAATTCTATGTAATTAATGGTGCAGATACTTATTTCTATCTAGCTTCTTATAAGTATGCTATTAGAAATAAACCCTTTGCAATAAAATTTGTAACAAATTACTACTACATGAATCTCTAGAAATGCTCACAAATATTAATGTTAAGTGTTCGATTTGTAGGGCGCCTGGGTGGCTCAGTTGGTTAAGCGCCTGCCTTCGGCTCAGATCATGATCCCAGGATCCTGGGATCAACTCCCACATCAGGCTCCCTGCTCAGTGGGGAGCCTTCTTCTCCCACCCCCTCTGCCTGCTGCTCCCTCTGCTTGTGCTTTCTCTCTCTCTCTCTCAAATAAATAAATAAAATATTTCTTAAAAAAGTGTTCAATTTGTAAATGCCAAGAGTTTACTGTGGCATCACTAACATGCCTCTCTTGAAAAAAAAAAAAAAAACACTTTTCTGCTAAAAAAGACAGAACTTTCATTAGTGTTCTACTGTAAAAAAAAAGCAAAGACAGCATTTAACAGTCTATGCTTAATATAATGTGATCATTTAATAGACATATTACAATAATTTCAAAAGCATCAGTTTACATCTTTTTGTTATTATACAACGATAACGGCAAAAACCTCAACTGAAACCACATATTCACAGCAGAGACTTCACAGTAACTGGGTTACTGTTATGTTTAAACACCTGCTCTTAATGGCCAACTTCTGCAGAGTGAAGCAGAGAATGAATCTGGAAACTTTTTAAGCAGCAGTACATCTGCATCTTAAAAACTAACAAATTATATCCTAAAAAGATAAAGGTCAATTGTGAGTCAATCAATACTCCATGCTAATTTTGGTCTAATAGACAAGGGGAGGTATTTGTATTTAGAGATTATATAAATACTACTAAAATTAAAATTTCAAAAATTTATTAATCTCTGCTTTTTCATAAACACTATAAAGACTCAAAGATTATTTGAGAGCAGAAAAAGTTGGCTAGGAAAGGCATTTAAAAATAACTTTTCTTTCCTTATTCTATTTAAGAAGAATATAATAATAATAACGGTTCACAGAACAAAAGTAAAAGCTGAACTCATTTTATGTAAAATTTCTCACCTAATAAGGTCCTGAGAAAAGTTTTCTATCTGGATATTCAAACACTGTGCTGCATACTATAAACAGTCACTAAATGTCTATAGAATAAAAAATATCCAAGCCCAATTTTCAGGGTTCAAACCTTATTTCCCATTAATAACATTATAATTTCACTAACATTCAACATTTTAAATTGGTGAAACTGAAAGAAAAGAGTCAGTGTGAGAAGATCTGTACACTGAGTTCAGCTCTGCCATCCACAAGCAAGGTGATCTTAGCAAAGTCACTGCAAATGGAGATGATAACACCTATGCGCATGACAAACTCAGAGAGCTCCTTAGATCAAATTAAATAATTACGTGAATATGATTTAGTGACAAAGCAATACCCACATGCGGGTTGTTATTCAGACGGTAATGACTTTAACTCTTCAACACTAACACAGACAATTCACAAAAGAGAGAAGCAACTGAACACACAGAACACCAATGTGACCCAACTAGCTACTAGAGGGCGCCTGGGTGGCTCAGTTGGTTGGGCGACTGCCTTCGGCTCAGGTCATGATCCTGGAGATCTGGGATCAAGTGCTGCATCTGGCTCACTGCTCAGCCGGGTCTGCTTCTCCTTTTCCTACTGACCTCTCTCCTTGCATTCTCTCTCTCTCTCCCTCTCAAATAAATAAATAAAATCTTTAAAAAATATATTAACTAGTAACTAGTGAAATTAATAAACTCCATACCATTTTTTTTGCTGATTACATTGGCAAGACTAAAAAGAAAATAAAGGGAAATGGCACTCTCATACACCACTGATGAATATATAAATGAGTGCAACCTTTCTGAAATGCAATTTAGCAACATGAAACAAAAGCCCCCCAAAGCACACACCCTTCAGCTTAGCAATTTCCTAAGACTTTGCTTTATGGAAATAATCCAATGAGTAAGTAAAAATAAACAAAAAGCTAAAAAGAAAAGGAAAGAAAGAAAAAAGTGGAATTTAATTAATGGCCAATATCAGGAAACTGATGTAAGTTTATACAGCAGATAACATAAAACAGTCATTTAAAATGATGTTGCAGAGATATTAAGAAAAGACATTTATCATCAAGATTAAACTAAATATTGGTTACAAAACAGTATATTTTTATTCAAAATATTTATACACATTTTGTTATACACACACACACACACACACACACACACACATTTGTATATATATCAAATGTCTTCCTAGGCAAAATTCTGCTTATAGTCTCTAGGCTAGTTTCTTTACCTGTATTCTCTAATTTCTCTGTAATGAATATCATGGCTTACATATTATTTAAAAGATTCTTTGATGAGGCAAAAAATACACATCATGTTACCTTTTAAATCCTTTATTGTATACTGAATAAGCTTAAGTCAGGACACACCTGCATTTGTGGTCATGAAGAGTATCAGTGAATATTAGATACGATTTAACAACAATTTTATCCCAGAAACAATGAATATATGCCAGCTCTACAGACTTTCCTTTTTGCAAAACGATCCATCCCACAATCCACGTAGTTCCAGTATGACTGTTAATCTTTGAGCCTCAACTGTTGCCATGTCAGCAGAAGTAGACCCATGACTCAGACCTGGCCCACTTCTTTCTCAACGTCGGCTTGTCTAAGCATCTGGATCAAGCAGGGTCAACCAAAAGAATTCGAAATGTAAGTGCTAAAAGGGAAAAGTTTCTTCTTTTCTGAAGTAAGAATTATAAAGACAACATACAGTATTCTGCCATCATATAGAGCCAAGAGATGGAAAAAGGGAGACAGGTACCTGACATCATCATTTGGTTCTCCTGTAACCAGATGTGTTTGAAGCCAGAGTACCAAAGACTTTCCAGTTGTGTGAATCAATCATTCCACGTTTTGCCTTAAGCTGTTTTAAGTAGGGTTTCTATCATTTGCAACCATGAGACCTACTATGGCATGGATTAGACAAAAATAACTCCTCACAAAAAACTGTTCTCATAAGAGATATGTAAAATGAGAAGCAGAAAATAAGGATGTAAATATCTGAATACGTGTTTAATGATAGCTGTGTAAGACCTGGGCAATCTCTTCGACATCTAAGAGTTACTTCTCAGTGGCATGAGACACAATGGATCATTCCCTCCTCCTTAAAACACTTTCTTCACTTGGCTTCCAGATCATCAGGATAACACTACTTCCTTCCTTTCTGGTCATTCTTTGAGTCTCCTTTGCTGCTTCTCCTCCTCCCCAGATGCTGGAGAATCCCTGTGCTCAGACCTTGGGTCCTCAGGTATACCCCATTCACATTCTATATAATCTCATGTAGTACCACTACTTGAAAATAATTTAATATGAAATGACTCCAAATGTCTGTATCCAATCCCAACCATTTCTCTGAGCTCCAGAGTCATTTATCAAGCTACCTAGCCAATATCTCTACCTGGTCATTTTTAGGTCTACCAACTTTAATAAGTTCAAAATGACTGTTGAGTTTGACACAAAATCTCACAGTTCCCCCAAGAATTTTTCTTCTCGTTAAACAGCATACCTATTTATCAGTTACACAAGCCAAATACTGAGAAGTCTTTTTTTAAATTTTCTCTGCCCCCATTCCTTATTACTCAATAACTCCTAACAGCTGTCCCTTCAAATACATCCTAGATCCAGCCACATTTCCCCATCTCCAATATCACTACCCCAGGCCAAATCACAATAGTTTGTTGTCTGAACTACTGAGGTAAGTGCCAAATGAGTCTCTTGCTTCTACTATGCCTCTCTTCCATCTATTCACTCAGCAATCAGGACAAACTTTCTAAAATAGTAAGTCCAGTCATAGCTGACCAGCAAATCTCCAATGGCTTCTTACTGACGTTTTAAATACACCCCTATGACCCAGAATTTGAGGCTCCACATGATCTGGCTCCTGCTTTCTTTCTGACTTCATCTACCACTTTTCCTTGCTTACTCTGTTCCACTTATAAACTGGTCATCTGGCTGTTCCTTGAACAACTGTACATTTTCCTGCCTCTACCTGGAATGTTCTTTTCCCAGGTACTCATAAGGCTGGCTTCCTCTTCTTGGATTGAGACTCAAGAACACTTCTATCTAAACAACATTTCCTTGAAGAGAATTCTTCTGAAAACTTAAGTTGAAAAACTCTCTCTCACTGCCATCATTCTCTCTCTCCTTCCCCGGCTTTACTTTTCATAAGATTTATCATTATCTGACATTAGGTATGTATTTATTGTCTTCTCTCACTACAGACACTATAGGCCACAGTAAGGCAGGAGCCTAGAACCGTATCAGGTAAATATACAGGGGGCGGGGAAGAGAATGAATTACTCATGGCACTGTGAAATAGTATAATCCTTTCAGTAGGTATCTTGATAAAACATATTAAAAGCCACTAGAATGGCTAGTGAACTTGACTGGTTATTTTCAGACAGCCTATTTCAATTCTTTCCCACATGCGTCAGCTCAGCCCAATCTGAGGCTTGACCTCTTCATGTCCCTAACTCTAAGATATCAAGAGGATCAGCTCATCCCTCTCCCCCTAGGTTGCCATAGCAGAAAGAGAAACATGTTGCTCACTGTGTGATTTCTTCCAAATATACAAACAAAATAATGGGAGTATAATTACCACTCGTTCAAATGCTTTATGTTACTTTAGGGAAAATACTTTTAATATAGCAAATTGTACAAATGACTAGAAAGATGATATTTGATGCAAGGTAAATTTTAATCCAAAATATGCTTGCTATTTGAATGTTAACCAGCTTGTAGTTCAAGATAATTTTTACTTCCCTTTCTTCCTAAGGAGAAAAAAATCAAGATAATATTCTGCAAGAAAATTCCCAATACACAGACTAAAACTTTGCCTTTTCCCCAAACAACGCATTAACAAATATACATATAACAACCTTAGATTAAGGCAGAGTACTCCTGATAATTTATCCTAACAAAATAATTTAATTAAGTGATAATGAAACAAAATCTGTATCTGCTTATAGCTGCTTAGAGCATGTCAAAAGCAAGGTTAATAATAGGAAAATAGAGATTAATCATGAAGGATTTTGTTTTTCATGTTATTCTTTAGATGTATAATGGTCAGTATTTGGAAGTATTCGGCAGTATTTGGCAGTATTTGGAAGCCATTATCTGTCTGGCTGACAAGGAGACCTTTTCACACAATAGAATGCTCGCTTCTCCTAGTTATAATTAGGTTAAACCACTAGTAGATATTGCACATGAGCAGTAGCAGAGGTCCACCCCAAGGAGTCTGAAATTGGAGCTGACATGGGCAGACAGATCTGTCAAGTTGTCTTCATCCTTTCCTTGGCACCTCTCTTTCTCTGAACAGGCTGGTTCTATGACACATATATTGAGAGGCTGCCTAGAGAACTAAGGAGCATGATTCGCAGAGAGGGACAGAGTATAAAGCAGATGCACACAGACAAGCAGAGATAATATATGGAGACTAAACACTGCTTCAATTTCCGGTACATTTCAAATTTCTGCACCCAGATCTTTCTGAAGGCCCACTAAATTCTTACTCTTAAAGTCTCTGAGACATTCCTGTATCTTTATAGTAAATTCCCTTTTTAAAGTAGCAAAGCTGATTTCTGTTATGTACAATCAAATATTCCGACATCATAATGTGGGAACAGTAAAGCAATTTTAAGTTATTTCCCTATATGTTGCAATATTTATTTTCTGGCATAGTCCATCACAGAACTGGAACAAAATCTACTGACACAGTCAGACAATAAGAAAATAACCTGAAAGGAAGCTGACTCAGAAACAGAAGCCTCGAGCAGAGGAAAGAAACTGAATAGCTTCTCCAAAACATCGAAAATCTAATGTCTCCTCAGGAATCATTTCATGGAGGACAGCTAAACCATATCTCAGTGTACATACTTCCTTGAGTAAGTCCACAAAAAAAAAAAAAAAAAAAAAATTGGGCCAAAGAAAACTGATTTTCTCAATAAGGCTAGTAAATCTCCAGCAAGTACCAAAACAAAGATTTATACAGTACCAAAAAAGGAGAGATGTGGGGAACTTTCTAGAGAGAGCAATTTTGCAACTGTTGAGGAGGTACAACTTGGCAGCAATTTACAAGAACGCTACTGTGCCCACTCAAGTGCTATATTCAATAGCATTGAAGTTCACGATCATTTTTTGCATAAACAAAGACAAATATAAACTAATGCCAGTAAATTGAACTTGAGTAATTAGAATAGTGAAGAAAAATGTGCATAGGAAAAAGTACAACTCATTTTAAAAATACTTACACTTAAAAATTTACAGTACTTACATTTTTTGCCGTCATGTCAAATTGTATTCGATTTAAAATTCTGTAAAGCCATTAAAAAAAAAACAACAACTTCGTCTTCAATAATTCTTTAAAAGAACATCCTGTTAAAGGGGGAAAAAAGAGGGAATAGTAATGTAATAATAATAATAGGCAACGTTTATGTCATATTAACCATGTGACATGCATTGTTAAGTGGATTATTTAAATTAATCCTCGCAAAAACACTCTGAGATATGTACCACTTTAACCCTCATTTTCCAAATAAAAATTGGGGCTTACAGAGTTTAAATATCCCACCAAATCAACTCAGTTAACAAGTGATAAAACCTGGGCTCTGAAATATCATACTATGTTCCTTTGGATAACACACTGAAAGAAACACCAGGGCTTCTTGAAGAAATAGCCAGTTCCAGGGTTGGGGAAAGAGATGTGCAAGATGAGACTAGAACATTTTATTGTATCTATGTTAAGGAAGAGCTCAAAAAATGATGGAGACATATTAAAAGTATACAGGAGTCAGCTTAAAGGGCCTACAACTGCAAAATTTGTAACAAGTGGGTACCAAAGTATACACTGATAATAACAGATTATAATAGACTATAAACTCTTTGAATAAAATAACAATCCAGGACTTCATACCGATAGAAACAAATAATGAGGAAGAAGGGAAAGCTCTTCTCTGCAATTATTATACCAAATAGTAAATATAAATGAATGATGCAATGAGAAAACCACCAATTTGTAAACATCATAATAATACCTGATTAGACAAGGATTATCATAGATACTAAAACTTTAGTGGGTGAAAAGTTGGTAAGAAACAGGATATTTACATAGTCTTGAAATATCACCCCACAAAATACTTATTCATTCAAATTTTACAGTGAAGAAACCTGGCCCCACGTAGCTAAAGTGATCAAACCTACCAAATGACCACTAACAATGACACAAACTAACATGCATCTCCACAAGTGCACTGAGATGGATAGAATACCACTTCTGAGATACTTCTACCCAAAGCATAATCTAATTCATGAGGAAATAGCAGAGATATTTAAATTGAGGGGCATTCTATAAAATAATGAACTGAACTTCTTAAAAATTTTTGTGTCATGAGAAAAAAGGAACCTAACAACCATTCCAGGTTTAAAAAGACTAAAGTCACATAAAAATTAAACTCAACACAGGATCCTCAACTGGACTCTGGACCAGAGAAAATAACTCTTGTGAAGACAATTATCATGGCAAATGGAAAAACTGAAATATGGTCCACAGACTAGATAATAGTATTATTTCAGCATTTCATTTCCTGCATTGATCAGTTATGGGTTTTTTAAGTGAGTGTTCCTGTTTTTAGAAAAAGTACACCAAAATATTTAGAAGTGAAGAGGTATAATAATAGCAATGTACTTTCGAATGATGAAAAAAATATAATCTATATATAGAAAGTGGGAATGAGGGGCACCTGGGTGGCTTAGTGCGTTAAAGCCTTTGCCTTAAGCTCGGGTCATGATCCCAGAGTCCTGGAATCGAGCCCCGCATTGGGCTCTCTGCTCAGCAGGGAGCCTGCTTCCCCTCCTCTCTCTCTGCCTGCCTCTGTCTACTTGTGATCTCTGTCAAATAAATAAACAAAATCTTAAAAAAAAAAAAAAAGAAGAAAGCGGGAATGATAAACCAAGTATGGCAAAATGTCAACAATTGGATAATCTGGGTAAAGGGTATTCAGGAGTTCTGTGTCCTATTTTTGCAACTTTTTTCTTATTTTACATTGTTTCAAAATTAAAGATTTAATAAGGCATTTAAGGGGAAGGAAAAAATAAAACTTAATTTTGAAAAGATCATAAACAATATGGCTTCAAAAAATGGAGGCTCCAACTGTCTGCCTCATATACTAGAATCCGAATCTACAAGTAAAACTTTGTGGATGGATGGGGCGCCTGGGTGGCTCAGTGGGTTAGGCCGCTGCCTTCGGCTCGGGTCATGATCCCAGGGTCCTGGGATCGAGTCCCGCATCCGGCTCTCTGCACAGCGGGGAGCCTGCTTCCCTCTCTCTCTCTCTCTCTCTCTCTGCCTACTTGTGATCTCTGTCAAATAAATAAGTGAATAAAATCTTAAAAAAAAACTTTGTGGATGGAAAAAAAGGCATTTTTATTTTTTAATAAAACACCAAATCTGCAAATTTTCAGGGTGCCTGGGTGCTCAGTCAGTTAAGCATCGGACTTCAGTTCAGATCATGATCTCAAGGTCATGTGATGGAGCCCTGAGTTGGGCTCCCCCCTCAACAGGGAATGTGCCCCTCTCCCTCTGCCCACCCCCCAAAGCCCATGTAGGCACGTGTGCTCTCTCTCTCTCTCAAAATCAAATAAATCTTAAAAAAAAAACCAAAAACCCAAACCCAATAAATTTACAATATTTCAATGATAAAACATAAATTAAAAAATCCCAAGTAAGACCTGGATTACCACTATGATTTTCACTGTCCCATGATAGCTGTAGATTTGTTCACAATGTCTGTCATGATCTAATATGAAAATTAAGTTCCTATGCTAGAAATGTTTCACATTCATCAACTATTTGTTATTTTCTCTTCCGTATTAAAAAATCAGATAAATAATAAAGCACAAGTTCCTGACATCTCATTCACTAAACTACCTAACAGAGGCAATATTATACAGATTATGGTCTCTGACCACAATACAACTAAGTTAGGAATCAGCCATTTTAAATAAAGAGTTAAAAATCGTATATTTAAAAAATAAAACTATATTATTGCTCAAACAACCCATGAGTTAAAGAAATCTGAAATATTTAGAACTGAATGACAATGAAAATAGCAGTAAAGAATAACAGAATATTAAGAACGGAATGATAGTGAAAATAATAAAACTGGCTGGCTTAGTCGCAAGACAATGCACAACGCTTGATCACGAGGGTTATGATTTTGAGTCCAATGTTGGGTGTAGAGATTACTCAAAAATAAGTAACAAATAAACTTAAAAAAAGGATAGAAAATAATAAAACTTGCAAAGTGCAGGTGAAGTAGTACTTAGAAGTAAATTTATATTTCTCTTCATTCATGATGCAATCAACTTAAAAGCTTAAAAAAGATCAGTGGAACTCCAAGATACAAGAGAGGAACAAGAATTGATTATTTAAATAGAAAAAAATAAAAAAACAGTTGGTTCTAAGTGTCCTGATTGAAGCAGGCATCTAATAAATAAAGCAACAGTGTTAGCAGAGTGAAAAAAGCATGGATTTTTAAAGTTAGGCTCAATCTCAGCTTTGACATTTATTAGCTGTGTGACCCTGAACAAGTGACTCAACCACTTTGAGTTTCAGTATCCTCATCTGAAAAAAAGGTATACTGAGTTTTTCAACCTTGTTAGCAGTAAATTACATACAATCTGCCTAAATGAAAATCTTCAGATCCAAGTCAATGTGACAAATGCCCTACAGTTCATACATAAACACCAAACACTCCTAAACACAAAAAATTCAATTTTAGATATTTCTAAGAGTACCTTCTGACCTATGAAAATGTAGTTCTAACAAAAAACAATGAAGTGCTTTCCATCAAAGTCCCTGTCAAATTTTAGAAACCTACTGTATCTAAGGCAGATATGGTTTGCCTACCCAGTATCTTATCCTCTTCTTCCTTAGGAGAAGTTGAAGGTGGCAATGTTCTCAACTTAAAAAAAAAAAAAAAGTACTACATACTCAGTCTCCCTTTCAGATGTACTGACCATAGGACATAATTCTAGTCAATGAAATATAAGCAGACATCATTGGGCTGGTGTACCAGATTCAGCTAGTAAATGCCCTTTTTCCCTTCTCCCCATTTCTTTACTCCAAAATATAGTTGTTATGGTTAAAGTGGCTTGTCTCCATACCTCTGCTTCATTACAATATTCAGTATTCAATACAGTATTCTATCTCCTAATGCCTGGGCTTCCGGGTGATACTGTGATATTTACCCAAATTTAAAAAAAAAAAAAATTAACAGACTGTTACTATTTCAGCACAAAATAACAAGTGGTGACCAATAAAATACTGCTTAGGCACGTTAATGAGCTACATTAACAAACTTAATTTTGCTTAGTATTCTTTGTATCCTTTCACCAGAGTGAAGTACAAATTAAGAACCTCTAAATGTTACCTAAATGATAAATGCTTGAAATGATAAAATGTTTGGCATGGATTTCTTGAGTAAATTTTACTGGAACATCTCTGTGCCTCAATTTCTCCCATCTGCAAAAATAGTAACAAATAGTACATCTACTTGAGTCAAAACATAAGAAATTATTAGGACACTGCCTAGCAGAGTATAAGCCCACAGTGTTAGGGTTTAAAAAAGCAGTTTGCTGTTTTTCATGACAAATTAAGGTTTCTTCTTCCAAAATAAGTAATACTTAACTCACATGTAGTAGAAGTAAAAAAATACCACACCATAAATCTAGTTTTAAAAGGAAATAAATGTTTAATTATGGTTAGAAAAACTTTTCTAAAATTAACAGAAGTAAGCAATAACTTTAGTCATTAATTTATTTATCCAGCAAGCATTGAACACCCACTATGTGCAAGGCATTCATCTAGGCACTGAAGACATCCTAGCAGATCAGAGAAACAGCAAGCATAAACTTTCAAAGATAATTTAAATTATATAAAATTACTGGGGCACCTGGATAGCTCAGTTGGTTAAGTGCCTGCCTTAGGCCCAAGGTGATGATCTAGAGACCCTGGATTGAGCCCCACTTTGTCAGACTCCCTGCTCAACAAGGAGTCTGCTTCTTCCTCTGCCCCTACCCTGTTACTGGTTCCTATCTCTCTCAAATAAAAATCTTTTTAAAAAATTATGTAAAAATACATTAAGATAAATGTTATAAAAAGAAATGGGATTATGACAGAGATCTGCCTCATTCAATTAAAAATGAAGTACTGGATTTGAGTGAGAGTTTATAACCTTTAGTTTAGAAATACACATTTCTAAGTATTTTTAAAACTTTTGCTTTTTTTTTAAACATCATTTTTAATCTAAAAATTATTTGTAACATATGACTTAAAACACAAGTGTCCAGAAAGTAAATAAACATGGCACT